CCCCGCCTCTCTTCTCGTCCCCCTTTCCCTTTCTGGTTGTATCATTTCATTAACATTTTTCGCATTAAACTAAGAATATGGCACTTCAGTGGATATGGGGTACCATTTCGATGCCCGCCATTTTGGCATTTTGTAGCTGAATTCATAAAAGTCATTGAATTTGTTTTTCAAAAAAAAAGAAACGAGCAGGAATTTGTTCAATTTTAGAGCTCCGCTGAAGGGGGAACAACAAAAGGGAACGGTGATGAAATGGAGAATATGTACATCTTTGAAGGACGTGACTACAAACAAGATATTGCGGTTTTGCAAAATATTGTAGGCGAGGAGACAACAGGAGCAGATGATGATACTCGACGAATTGCTCGAAGTAAGGATTGTGGATATTCGCAGGGGTACAAGGATTTATAATGTAGATTCTCCTAAAGAGATTCTCCTATCTGTAAAAACTTGAATATCTGCAGGTTTCAGGGACCTAGCATGCCTACAGTTGTCGAGAATTTGGGGTTCTAGAAATGTAGCCCTAAATGTTGAAGCTTTTTTTTCACTGGAAATCGTACAGATGTAGTCGCATATCGTTAATAAATCTTTAATGTGGGACATAGCGACTGGTGTCGCAACGGTTTAGCACGTCGCATCAAAATGTGAAGGCGAGCGGTTAGAATCCGTTCCGACGCAAATGATTTTATTATGGCTGAAAAGTTTTTGTAATTTTTCAAGATGTTTTCATAAGGCGTTTTAAGGTCTTTTTTGTTGAGGCGGTCTCCTGTACTTGACGTTTTTTCTCTGTCAGCTCTTTTTTTTTCTTAATGACATTTTTTTTTATTTGATTACAAATGTGGTGCTGATTTTCATATATTTTTTTGTAGACCACCCACCGTCCGGAACAGTTGAAAGGCGAACGCGTAAACCGTTATCCAAAGAAGAGATTGAGGAGAGGCAGAGAAAACGCAAAGAAACTCTCGAAAAGAAGGAAAAGCTGAGAAAAGAGGAAGCGGAGAGGAAGAAAAAGGAGCGGGAAGCTAGGAAAATCATGAAGTGGCAAAAAAATAGTAAGTCTTCATTTCCTGCGTAATTTTCGAACAGTGTCGAAACCAGAGACCCGGTGCTCCGACTTTTTGGGTTGGGTCGTCGACTCCTTGGCGATAGTTCGGGCTAGTAGGGTCCGGCTCTTTCATGGGTCGTCTAGGTTGCCTGTACAATATATAACACAGCACTAACACAAAAACAGCGGCCTTATATAGTCAGCTTCGCGCCAATACGTGCCCAACCTAAGAAGGAGTCATGATGCAAAACGTTACATCTAATCAATTTCTGGCATATTGTGACTGAATTTAGTTCAGTTTTGTTTTGATTATAGATTACGTGAGCGGATCGCTTCCGTTGCCGGACGAACCGGCTGAACCTTATGAAAACGAGAGCGCTGATCACTGTGGACCTCATTTTGTCTATGGCAGTGTTACAGAAACTCAACGGGCTCCCAGTGACGATTGCGATAATGCTCTGATTGTTCATGTTGTTGATGATAGTGGTTCGTATTTAAAATTTTTTTATCATAAACTTTTCTTATCGTTCTTTTTTTGATGATTTTAAACTGGACTTGAAAGAAGTAACCACTCTTAGCCTTGCTGTTAGCAGATTGCAATTTTA